GGATTATGAGAACCAGCAGGATATTTATAGGTTGATCCTGGACTGAAAGGAACCAAGATGGTAAGCATTCTCTCGGGAGTTTGTTCCACAAAGTAACAGCTCTGGGGCAGAAGCTGTCTGAGTGGAATTTTTTTTTCTCAAAAAACCACTAAGGGAATGCGAATATTTTGTGTTGTATCGAAAGACTGACTAACCTTCTCTACACTATTATTGTAACATAGATTCGTCCTTCCACTATGAGTAGAAAAGTCTACTCATGGAACAGTGACAAAAAGTGGGTCGCCAAGGCCTAGTACTTTCAGTCGTAAAGATATACTGTATTCACAATCCATGTTCTTCACTCAACCCTTTGTTCCTAGTACTTTCCTTACAATCTTACTAACTAGCAACTATAAGCGTAAGACGAACTTTATAAGAAACACCATCCAGAACCTTTTATGCACAAATTGCATTATCTATACGCGAACTATTGTCTGCACCGGTGCTGTTATTATCATGATCTTTTCGATGTTGTATGCTCTGGCTTCATCAGAGTCTTGTCGTTCCAGGCAAAATTTTCAGGAATTTTCGAACTGAATTCTTTATTTAATCTACGGAGATTGATTGCTCTCATTCCGCTATGAGGGTGGTACCGAGTGTTTTACGCTGTATGGATGGTTGGAATGAAATAGGGAAACATAGACTAGTCCATCCGATATGAGTAAAACATCTGCTCATGGAACAGTGGCAAAAAGTGGGTCGCTAAGGCGTGGCGCTTTCATTCGTGCTGAACTAATGTAGAGTCAATCCATGTTCTCATGCGACTAAACCCTTCATTACTCAACCCTTTGCTTTCAGTGTTTTCATTACAGTGTTACTAACTTGCAACTGCGAGAGTTAGACTAACTTTGTAACAGTTTTCCATTATAAACACGGCGTGGCGGGTCCTAGCTGCGAAGGGCTGAGCAGGTGGCACAAAGGAATGTAACTCGTCCGTCCATCGGCTAATGTAATAGCGATATAATTGTAAAAGGCTGGTGAGGTTTCGTCTGTGTGAGAAGGGTTGCTTGGTTGAGAGTAATTCACCACTCGCAAGGCTGAATAAACACTTTTGAACACTGTCGAGGCCAGACAATGAGGATTGGGTAGGGCCAGCCCAGATATGGCTGCAGGACTCCATTTTTGGTCTGATGTGACTCTTATGAAGATAAAGTATAGCAGCGGAATTTACTTACCTTTCGAAATATGACTTCAGTTTTATTTGTCACATATATTTGAATCATTTCACCCCAGGTAAGGCGACAGTGCCACTAGAACGTAGGGGGTTACAGAGAATGAAAGTGAACGAGAAAGGGGGTGTGGAAAGGAAAAAAAATGAACAGGGTTCAAGAAAACAGAAGATAGCGATTGAATTTGCATTTATATTTTTATATGATTGTAGTTACGTTTCGGCTTTAAATGACCCATGGAGGTTGAATAAGCCGTTAAACAAAACAAAGTGATAGTTTTTAGAGAAGTAAAGAATCGGATGGGCGTTCTACAAGTGGGAAGTGCAAGAAAAAAATGTTAGAAAAATGGTAGAAATGACGGTTGAATCTAACAGTAAAACGGTGAGAAATAGTTGCCAATCTCGTAGCCCGTTTAAATTTACGTAGTCGAGGCAACAGAAAAAAACAAACAAACAAAAAAACAAGCAGATTATTCGAGCAATTACCATGAAAATATTTGTAGAACTGGTCAAGAAAAGCCACGTCATGTCGGTGAGAAAGTTGTTAGACATTTTGACGGTCGTCTTCGAGTATAGAATCCAGAGGTTGGCATTGAATATTTCGGAGACAGTAGGAAAGCGTAGTGCAGGTTCGCAGTGGATATCGCAGCAAGGTAGCAGAGCGTAGTTCTTCCGTCTGTCCTGTTCGCCGGACAAGTTGCCTCTGGTCATTCCGGTAGGAAAACAAAGATGGCCGCCTTTATACACGACAGATACAGTGTTGTGCGGCTTCTGATTGGTCCACCTTCTATTTATAGAATATAAAGCGAATTAAGTCATTTTGACTCGCTCACTGGTTACACAGTATATACACAAAAAACTGTAACAAAAGTGACTGAAGATGACATGCTGGGGCAGGACGGGTTTTATTGCAAATCCATCTCTGGATATTGTCAAGAATCTCGATATGCGCAGCAAGAGCACCAGACCGAATACGAGAACAGAATTCAATACAAGGATGAATCGTAGATTTATAAATGTACAAGGTGGATTCTGACGAGAAAATCTTTTTGGTATGAGACACTGAACCAACCTTCCTTGCAGCAAGCGTAGCAATTGATTTGATATAGTCTCTCCACTTGATGTCAGGGGAAAACGTGAGGCCAAGAATGGGCCAATCTTCTGGGGTCGAGCATCAGCCTCAGTGATGGCAGGCAGAAAAGGTTCTCCGTGGTGATTAAATGAAAGTTCGTTGGTTGGTTATTTTGCTTTACGGTATATCAACCTAAACGGGTCATTTAATTCCAACACTATTTTGGAATGGATTTTAGCATAGTTTAGTAGAATCTATCTATCTATCTATCTATCTATCTATCTATCTATCTATCTATCTATATATATATATATATATATATATATATGCAGTAGTATTCAGCCACTCATGTTTTTGAGTACATTAAAAATATGGAGCGCTTCAGGAATTTGCGTGTCATGCTTGCACAGGGGCCATGCTAATCTTCTCCCTATCGTTCCAATTTTAGTATATGTACTGCCGAAGAGAGTACTTAAATGAAAGTAGTTTTGTTTTGGAGGTGTTAAAATTTATAAAACATTTCAGAACCCAGTTAACCAGTGATTGAAGTTTTTTTTTAAGAGAGTTGCTGTAGACCAGAGACAACAGAGGTCCAAGGATAGAGCCCTGAGGGACCCGCTGCATTCATAGGAAATGATCTGGAAGAGTGTATGTTCGATTTGATCTTCATTACTCGATTTGTTAGGAACGATTGAATTACGCCAATTATTCCTCTGGGGAAAGCGTAGACCTTGAGTATGCAGAGAAGGATAGCATGCTGAATCCGGTCGAAAAGCTTTGAAATATCTAGAACCACGACTCGAACTTCGACGTTCTTATCTAAAGCTTGAGAGACATTCAAAGATAGTCGTAAACACATCGGCGTTAGACCTGGAGAAACAGAATCCATAATGTTTAATTAACACATAGATAAACTTTGACACACACACGCACATACACACACACATATATATACATACATAGATATGTGTGTGTGTGTGTGTGTGTGTGTGTGTGCGTTCAGATATGTAGAAAAATGGGAAAGAACACGTTAGGTAAATAATCCGAGTTTTTAGTATTTTTGTTTAAAAAAAAACCAAAAACAAACAGTGCTCCATACAGAAGTAGAGTTTAAATTATAATTATTTTCTAATTTTTCATAATTATATTGAGGTTTAAGGCTCTCGTTTTGAAACAGGAGAACTCTTATGTAGCGAAGGAATCATAATTTTTAAAAAATATATATATATATATATATATATATATATATATATATATAAACATTTTTTATGTTTATACGTTCCTTTTATTGATACAAATAGTTAAGTAAATGCAGTTTATAATAAACAGTATTAACAACATTTACTGGCCTGAATATATATATATATATATATATATATATATATATAGAGATATATATATAGAGAGAGAGAGAGAGAGAAAGAGAAAGAAAGAATGACTCTTTAGGCATTCTAATTTGGCTCTACTTAGTGTATTGACCGCTTTTAACTATCAGGTTAGACTACCCTTTTGGTGTTTTTTTTTTTTTGGCTCGACATTACAGTGATGGTTGATTATTCTCAAGCAGTGCGGATGTTTTTAGTCTTTTCTCTTTTTATTGAATTTTCCCCACATATCAATTCGTGTAATATTTTTTATAGCATCATCATTTTAAACCGCCAGATATAGATATAAGGTAAAAAAAAAAATATAAATATATATATATATATATATATATATATATATATATATATATATATATATATATATATATGAGATAAAGATATATATTTTTATGTACCAAGAACAGTATTGAGGATTTTGTATCACAAAAATAATTTTGACACGTTTCATCCGTTAGGATATCCTAACAGATGAAAGGTGTCATAAATATTTTTTGCATTATATATATATATATATATATATATATTTCATTAAGTAAGGCATACCAGAAAGATTTAATTAATTTTTTATTAAGTATTTCCAGCATCCTTAATTTTTTTTTCCCGTTTTGTAGGTGTAAGTACAAAAATCTTCCATAATTTTCATTGTCCCGAGCGCTTTCGGCCACTTCTAGTGTAATTTATATTTGTGTTCTTTTGAATAGGAGCGTTCATTCCGAGCTTTCATATGTTGCGCGCGGCTGAAATTCGCGTGAGCTTCTTTCTAATTTTTAAAAAAAAAAATAACCCTCCTTTTCCATTGTTAAATAATGTGAGGTTGATAGTAGGAGAGGAAGGCTTGATATACACGACTTCTCTGTTAGTGAGATGTTTCCAATAATGTGACTTATATAGAATTTTAGTGTTTTCGAGCAGAATTTTTCTTAGTTTTTTTCTCAAAAATAAATTACAGCTTAACAGACAAAACACGAGGAAAAACTAATAACAGCAGACACAAAAGACCCCTGAAAATGGCTATAGAAGTGGCCGAAAGCCCTTGGGGCAATGAAAATTATAAAACATTTTTGTACTTCCTTACTCCTATAAAACGCGAAAACGTAAAGATGATGGAAAAACTTAGCAAAGAATTAATTAAACCTTCCTTGTCTGTCGCATTTAATGAACACTGAAAGAAAGGTTACTTCCCAAATATACATTAATATATATATATATATATATATATATAGAGAGAGAGAGAGACAGACAGAGACAGAGACAGAGAGACAGAAACAGAGAGAATGAGAGAGGGGAAGAATTAAATGTTTAGATGCATCCATTTTTATTAATTTTCTAACTTTTTATGCGTATTAATTTAAAAAAATGCAACTTTCATTCTCTCCCTTTCTCTCTCTCTCTCTCTTTTCTTCTTTCTTTCTTTCTCTCTTCCCTCTCCCTTTCTCTGTCTCTCCTTCCCCCTCTCTCTCTTTCTCTCCCTCTCCACTCTTTCTCTATCTCTCCTCTCTCTTTCTCTCTCTCGTGTACATTTATATATCCTTATCATCATTTACTTATTCACATTTACCTTCATAATTTCCTTTTTCCTTTTTTTAGTTCTATTTTTTTTTATATTCCATTAATATATTCCTTTTGTAGTCAGGTAATCAATCACTTTGGGCGCCTATTTTATACACCGCCTTTCTACCATATTGACAACCCAAGATGGCCATATCCCAGCGGCAAGTCATTCTGATGCGATCTTCTACATTACTAATTACGACAGTCTCCCACCAACTTCTACAACTTACCTTGTACAAATAAACACCATCGCTTTCCGGCAATGAATGGTCTTTGCGATCACATGATCCCGTCAATCCAATCGTATTTTGCCTGCAGCTTGGGTTGATAATGGCCGTGTCGTCTGCATTATTGCCTAAGATCGTATAACCTGATTTACTCTTTGCATTGCTTGTTAAAACAGATATTTGAATGTGGGAAGATGTCGTCTTTATGTTAACAGTTCTTTCGTTCCATAAGTATGAGTATGAGAAAATAAATTCCAAGCGAAAAGGCAATAAAAACTTTCTATTCAGATCATGTTTCATGTTTTGACCATATATGCGTGGAGAAGAGGATAGGCGCTCAGATTGTGGAATCGGAGAGTTCGAATTCCAGTCGAGTCCATTACATTCACTTACGTGCTAATACCCTTGAGAAAGGCATTAATCCTCTTCTTCTCCCTCCAGTTATGGGTAAATAGCAGGACAGATTGGGTTCTGTAGCCTTGGATGGCAACTGGTGTAGGAGAAGAACAACTCTGAATTCAAAATCAGCGGAGGATTGTTTGGGGACCTTGTGGCACGTAGTGAACCAGGTCTCTGTATTCGGCCCTTCAAAAAGTGTGGATGGTCCTGCACGAAACCTTCAACACTACAATGAAAATCATATGTGCTGGTGTCTGGCTGTCGGTTTCTAGGAACAGAGCTGCTTGACCCTCATACGTCGAATACGACGGGTGAGTCCATATATATATATATATATATATATATATATATATTTATTAAAGACATATTTTTATGTTTAACGTTGTTATTTTATAGATACAAGTATTTAAGCAAATGCTCTGTTTATGATTCTTTGTAGCTCAAGCGGTAAAGGCACGTCAGCGTATATGACGGTTCCGTATAGGATGCAGGTTCGAATCCTGTCAAAGAACGAAAATTTTCTATGAAAATTTCTCGGACATTCAGGCCGGTAAATGTTATTTAATACTGTTTATCATAAACAGAGCATTTGCTTAAATACTTGTATCTATAAAATAACAACGTTAAACATAAAAATTGTCGGACCTTGTCCATTTCTTTATATATATATATATATATATATATATATATATATATAAAGCAATACACGTTTCAGTCCAGCATCATTTCTTATTACTAAAAAGTTATATTAACGGGTAGACGTGTTTGGGTAGAGATGCCAGTTGTTTTTAAAATAGTGAAATAATATCTAGCCACCTAAAGATGGTAAAAGTAAAATCTTAATAAAGAAAATCTGCCTCTTGCCAATAATCGAACCTGTATTCCGTTTTTAATCTGGGGAAACCATATTCAGGCCAAGCATACATTATCATTAAGTCACAAGAAGCTATTAAAGTAAACCGAGGTTCCATTATCATACGCAAGAAAGACCCATCTCTCGGCCGGATCTTTCGAAGTCTCCATCTGCTAACTTTATTTTTGTATCCGAAACGCAAACAAATAAATTTTAAGCAATTAATGGAATTATTTTAATCCGACATTATTTCTTATTGTTATGGTCCGGTTCCTTGTAGCACGGTGATAGTCCAAGGTAGAACCAATAAAGAAGAACTCGAACACAGGTATGGAATAACACAGGTATATTACAAACAGGAATATATACAGAGAGGTAGAAAAGTGTTAGTACGAACAATCAGGTTTAGTAGTAATGCGACTCTGTTTCGGACTGCCTCTGACGCGAATGACTGACTCGCTCTGACTGACTGACTGACAGACAGACAGACTCCTGACGGACTTCACTCCAGATTTCAGACGGAACTCCAGACTTCAGACGGAACTCCCTGCTTCCTCTTGAGGCGCAGTATTTATTACGTATGGAATAGTCCATTATGTTATTATGGGTAATGTCCCATAACACTTATCACTATGAAAGTTGTATTTAGTGGGCACACGGATTTGATTTGAACGAACAGGATTAGATTGGTTTGTCTATCGTCCGGTTCACACTCCTCCCCGGTTTTTAAACATGTGTAATTTTACGCCTTATTTTCTGTTTAGGATTAGGTCCCCGGTTCCTTCTAAGGTCTACTTCAACTCTATACTCCCAATGTCTTCGCCTGGACTAACTATTATTATTATTATTATTATTATTTATTTCCAATAGGAATAGACAGGTTCGCCTGGTTCACACCTCTTCATGGACTTTTGAACAGGAGTTGAGTTTTATTTATTAATTCCTATTTAGGATTGAGGTTTTGTCAACTCTATACTCCTAACGTCTTCGCCTGAACCCTGAGATTTATTTTTTTCCTTCTCTCGCAAAATAGTAGATAGGCTCGCCTATCGTACGATACAGATTCCTCACCGGTCTTTTGAATAGGAGTAGAGGTTTATTACTGTTTTTCTTGTTTAGTATTGGGTTTCTGGTTCTTTCTACAGCCTAGTCCCACTCTATTCTTCTACCGTCTCCGACTGAACTCTGAATTAAAAATTAAATCTTGACCTCTTCAAGTCTAGACTTAGTCGTTATCTTTCCTGTATAAAGTCAATAACTTCACTTCTTGCCCTTCTTTTTCCACTTATACAGCAACACACAGTGATCCTCTACCTTGAGCCGTCCTGTGTAAGACGATAAACTGCATCCTCGTTCTGGGTAAGACGATAAACTACGTTCAACATCAAGGCCTCTGATCAAGAGGTTTTGAGGAGCGTGGAACCACCACTTAATTGCTGGTGTTCCAAGGTTCACCCTGACCCAGGGTGGAAGCACCTGTTAGGGTCCTAGCTATGGGCAAGCAGTTGACCCCCAAACTGGGCTCAAAATGCCGTGAAGGTGTAAAAATAGATTCTATTACCAGCAATACATTTTTGAGGGAAAAATTATCAGAAGTACATTTTTGAAAAAAAAAAAAAATACGGTTTCTTGGCTTTTCTTACTCTGGTTTTATCCAGGTTATATATTTTGATGGTTTATTGCAGTCTCCCTTCATCTTTGATATGACAGTAGCATATGGAGTGAAGATAAAGGATATATTTGAACGCCCGCTTGAAGTGTACAAGGCTAAGACTAATATGGGTATTCCACGCTTATATGAGATCAGTGACCAAAAATAGTCCCATCTCCTTTGCACTTTCCCTTTTAAGATCGAAGTACCAGCTAATGACCTTAGCTCCATTCTGAAGGCGAGGTATTGTCTGATGAGTCGGGCAAATTTGGACGGGATTATAAATAATTCATTTTGCACCACATGGCCCCAAAACGAAGAAACAATGAGAAAAGGGCATTTATTCGCACGACACTTCGAACAGAATGTTGCTCAATGCTGAGTTTAGTGTAAGGACCCCATGTGTGTGTCTCACGTGGGTCCAGTGTCCAATAATATTACATATATTCGTTCGTGTTTTCTGCTGTTCTGCGAATGATCTCAAAAAATATTCTTTCGTATCATTTTATGCTTTTCAGTAAATCCGGTCATCCTGTAAAACAGATGCCTAGCATCATTAAAATTTTATTTCAGATTAGACACCCTTCCAGATGGAATGCCAAGTCGACAAGACTGAGCATGTTCGACATTTTCTCTCCGCTTTTAATTAAGGTAAAAAAAATCTACTAAAATTGCTCGAGGCATTTGTGATGTGTACGAAGATGACTTCACTTCCGACAGAATGGCACAGAAATTGTTTCCTGTTTCAAGAAGGAGAAGTTGGAACTCACAGATTCCTTGCGTTCTTGCCGACCTGTTCAGTTTGATGAGAACCAACTGCCTGTGCTGATTAAAATGAACCGCACCAGACCACTAGGGAATTGACTCAGAAGATAGCAAGCTTTCATGTTACTGTTGCACGTCATCTTTACACAATGGGTAATGTCCAGAAACACGATACATGGGTGCTACATTGACCAAGAGAAACGAAATTCAGCGCGCCTACATTGCCGCTTGACACAAGGCTTTTCGTGGATACCAAGAAAAACCTCTTTTGGAAAGTTCTGCCAGACTCACCATATTCTCATGATTTAGCCGCTTCAGACTACCACCTTTTTCGCTTGCTTTCTAACAATTTAACTGTTTTTTTTTTCCTTCAACAACAATGTGGACCCGACAACGTGGCGTAATGGGTTTTCCATCGTCGAAGCATTGAGCAGTTGGTGGATTGTTGGCAGGAGACCGTAAACGATGAAGGGGGATAATTTATTGAATGATTCATCAGAACTTTTAATAAATAACAAGAATTAAAAGAAATTATACAAGATGAACAAGCTAATACACTATTTCTTTTGTCACTTCCAGTTTTTGAGAAGATCCAAAAGCTATGTAATGATCCTAGCTAGCGTCCTAGAGAGAGGCAATGTCTAGTGAGAACGGACCATCTGAGACTGGACTTAAAATGATAATATGCGCCTCTCAGGATGTTGTGACCAAGTAATTGGTTAAGGAATAACAAAGCAAGTGGTTGCAGATAAATAGTGTATTGAACAGTAAATACAACAGAAGTGTGTTACCCGACTTGGGAGTGTGTCTCAGTTGACCAGCGTTAAGTCTATATCACCGTTATATTTAGTAGAAACACGAGGGTACTTGTGGCACAAGGCCTAATTTAACGTTGGTCGTCCGAGTCCGTAGGCTCGGCCAAAAAATCCCCGTAGGACCTGCATAAACGGGTTCGAGTCTGTTTACCTCCCCGGACGAAACTCTGCCCTTCGGCACAGCCTCGTCCGAGTTCCTCTCTGCCCAAGGCAGAGAGTTCGACAGGAGCTGCGAAGAGTCACAGCCTCGATAGAATAGTCTTTATCACTATTAATATTTAACAGCCCCCCGCCCCCTTCTATGTGGCACAAGGCCGAGTTTAGTGTGGGTTCGGCCAAAAATATTCCCTTAGACACGTATAAACGGGTTCAGGGCCTGTCTACCTGCCCGGACGAAACTTTGCCCTTCGGCAAAGCCTCGTCCGGATTCCTCTCTGCCGAGGCAGAGAGTTTGACAGTAATGAACAGTCTATATCACCGTTATATTTTACGCACCCCTACGTGGATCGTATGTGGCACAAGGCCTTTTCACCGTGGGTTTTCCGAGCCCGTAGGCTCGGCCAAAAATATTCCCTTCGACCACGCTTATAAACGGGTTCAGGGCCTGTCTACCTGCCCGGACGAAACTTTGCCCTTCGGCAAAGCCTCGTCCGGGTTTCTCTCTGCCTTTCGTCCTACTTTATAGTAAGTGGAAGAGTCCACAATCGGCTCATTAGAGGGAAGACACCACAACACAGGCCAAACGGCGAAAAAAACGATGAGGAAGAAGATAAACGAGAAATTATTAAAAGTGACGTTATTTAACCCGAAAATAACTTTATATTCACAATTAATGTATTAATCATTTGAATAGTGTACCATAGTCATTTCCTTAGCCGGATGATGAAAATGAATGAAAAAGGGGATAAGTGTAAGCAGAATGTGATGTTTAAGTGAGTTTCTCTTTGGGCGCGTGTATATGTCTCGAGGTGGTGGTGGTGGGGATCAAATCTGTACTTAGCACTTCAAACCAAGCAGGTCGCCATATTTCTAATCAGATAGAAATTGCGGTTGTATTTCTTTCCTTTTTCATGGAAGTGTGAATTCTGCTAGTGAACCGGAAGTCATCCGCGATTGGACAGTAACTTGCCAAGAAGAGTCGTGTGCTGTGCATCTCGGTAGATGGAAAAAACTATAGCTGACGGAAGGTACACAAGTCGATAACCGATCAGTATCGGCTGGGCCACTGTGGAGAGAGGGTATGATGTGGAAAGACTCGAAACCGCTAATGAAACTCGGCTAGAAACATCACTGATAGATGTGTACTATCCAATAGATGTATTTTACGGAATACTTCCTGCAATACGAAAATTAATTATCACACTGAGAAAATATGCAACGTCCACTCCGTTGTTCTTTCTTTTCTTTCCTTTTCTCTATTTTTTTTTCTTTTCATGTTTAGCGGGAAGGGAATTTTTTTTTATGTGCGACTCTTTGTTCATTATGGAAGTGAATGAATGGTAGAGCGAATATACCTAAGAAAGATTATGCTAAAGGAAAAAGAAACAAAGAATGAAGGAGGAGACCCTATCAAGAAGAAATGAGAGAAAGAAAGATAGACAAATAGAAGGGAGGAAGAAAGAAGATAACAATGAAAGCGAAGCAGAAAGAGAGAAATAAAGGAAAATTTATAAGAGAAATTACGCCTAATGTCTGTAATACCGGAAATGACATTGTTACATTATCTTTGACACTCTGAGCTGAAAGAGAGAGAAAAAAGAAGGAAAAGGAATAGGGAGAGAGTGTAAGGAGACAAGAAAATGAGGAAAAGAAGAAATAAACACAACAGTATACACATACACACATACACAGAGAGACACGCGTACACACAGACTAACGCACATACATATATAGACACACAGAAAATAGAAAATAAAATAAAAATGAACAAAAATAAATAGCGCATAAATTATTTTGGAACAGTATAGAAACAACGAAAATGAAAAAAAATCGCCAGTCAATTGCTGGAAATCTCCTGATGAGTGGATCGAATGATTACAAAATATTTGCTCTAAGAAACTCTAGAGTTTGATTGCTGAATATAATATCAGTCAACTAAGTGACAATTTTTATATTTGTATTGATCGCATACATACATACATACATACATACATACATACATATATATATATATATATATTTATATATATATATATATATATATATATATATATATATATATATTATGAAATGGAAAAGTCCGACAATTATTTTAAGACATTTTTATGTTTATACATTCTTTTTTACAGATACAAATATTTAGCTAAGTGCTCTGTTTATAATAAACAGTATTAACAACATTTACCGGCCTGAATGTCCGAGAAATATGCGTCCTCCGACAGGATTCGAACCTGTATCCTATACCTTTATCCTATATCGAGTAGATATGAATGTACGAGAGAAAATCATGGCGAATTCTAGTTTAAAAACAGTAAAAACGACCTTGTTAACCGAAACGCTCCGCTGTGGCTAAATCGGTAAAGCACGTCAGGCTATATGACGCGTTCCGTATAGGGTACAGGTTCGATTCCTGTGCAACTGACTGCGTATAGTTCTATTTTTTCTTTTTTTTATATGCACCTTCATTGGTGCAATTATCTCACAAGAGATTCCAACAAGGCGAGAAATCGCAAAACTAGACTGTGAGAAATCGTCTGTTATATGTTTCATCTCCCTATTTAAGATGCTTAGTTCGTTATAAGGTCAGATCAGGGCAAAATATTTCCCAAGTAAACTCTAATAATGATCCTTGAGACGGATTTTCTCTGTATTTACACTATAACAGGCTGTCTGTCTAACGACTTGTCGCTGTCTGTCTGTCTGTTATCTATCTATCTATCTATCTATCTATCTATCTATCTATCTCAGTCTTTTCATTATCTATCTATCTATCTATCTATCTATCTATCTATCACAGTCTTTTCACTATCTATCTATCTATCTATCTATCTATTTGAGACCATCAATATAGACATGGTCATGAAAGGATCCTCATTAAAAACAACATATGAAATCAATAAGCATGAAAACAAAATGTAGATATCAATTTTAAATACAAAGGCATATTAAAATATATTTACTTGTTTGAATGAAAGCGTAACGTCTTTTAAAAACAAATAAATGATAAAATCTATGTGAAAATGAACTATCTACCCACTATTCACAAATCTAGATTTCTCCCGCCAAAGTCCCAAAGTTATCTCTCCTCGTCGCTGCAGGGGATACACCTACGCTTTTTAACAAAGGAACAGACATTGGACGTGGGAACGAAGGTTTATCCCAGACGCTCAGTAGACGACAGTAGCCAACACCTCATACGCTCTTGATCAAATTGCGGTTTTTTATCGACTTAAACGTAATGAAGAGGCTACTCATGTTTATCGCAAAGACCAAACAGAGACAACGAGAACCTGAAATGGCAAAGAGAAAAATATCAAAAACGAGACAATGATGGTTTAAATCTACGCCTTTTTTGGGTTGGATGTGTGAAGTTTCCGTTTTGCCTGTGCGTACTTAATGTTTCGTTATATCGGTCAGTCACTGGGTGAAAACAGCATCGGGGTCTTTGAGATTGTCGTAGTGGTGGTCTGCTGGGACGACCCCACAGATAGCAATCAAGGATCCTTGATCGATAACGGATAAAAAAGAAAAAGAAAGCAACAACAACAGCAACAAAAAAGAAAAGAAAAGATTTTAAGATGGTGAGAGTGAGATCTTCGAAGCGGTAAAGGGTATTTGATATGTAAATATAAGTGGCTTGAAAACAAAGCAAAAATGACAAGAATTTTACGCAGGCAAAACGCACACACACACACACACACACACACACACACACACACACACACACACACACACACACACACACACACACAAAAGACACCCTGTAAACACACGCACGCATAAACATACACAAACAGAAGGATGCTCCGAAGGTAATGCCTCCTAATCATTTTACCCAAACTAAAAAGATGTAGCCCACATAAAAAGCAATATTCTTGAAACGTTGCCGGTATAATGAATTTGGGTTGGTCGATATGTGACGTTGTGGTAAAGTTATTTACATTTAGCTGGAGGTGCATGGCTATATAGTGATATGTCTCGCATCTCATATTATGGCATAGCCATCTAAATTTAAACTTTGAAAATCATGGAAATGTAAAACGGTAAAATTACTGTATATATATATATATATATATATATATATATATATATATATATATATATAGTAAGGTAATGAAGGCTTTGGTAATTCGTATGGATAATTCTAAATATGATGCAATCCAGAGAGCTCAATGTAACAACAAAGCAAGTATTAATTAATTTAATTAAAAAAAAGAGGCAACCTCAAGGTTCCATGACTATAATTAATTTCCCCAGAAAATATATTATTCCTGGTTCATCGGGTCACATCTATCTATCTATCTATTTATGTAGGTAGGTAATAATCCGTTGGTATATAATCCAATTTATATAATCTATTATTACAATATTAAATATTAAAACTGATTCACATATAGAGCTCAATATTTGTATCAAACAGAGCAACATCTTTTTATACAATAGGAAATAAGATTACATTAGGTTAATGGTAATAAATTGAAAAAAAAACATTTATTTCGCTTCACAAGGCGAAAATGATCATTAACCTAATATAATCTTAATTTTTATCGTATGATATATATATATATATATATATATATATATATATATATATATATATATCATTTTTTTATACAATATGAAATAAGATTACATTAGGTTAATGATAATAAATTGAAAAAAACTTGTAAATTTTATTTCGCTTCACAAGGTGAAAATGATCATTAACCTAATATAATCTTAATTCTTATCGTATGATATATATATATATATATATATATATATATAGTGTTGCTGACTAAACTAACCTGGCCGTGCGTCTGGAAAAGGACCTCCAATAGGTTGTGATCTGGGGCAGGAATTGGCTGGTCAACTTTAATGCCTCAAAAACATAACTGCTCTCTATTAATTACCACAGAGATCCTTCCCTGCCCTCCATTACAATGGCTGACGCTCAACTTCTCGAGAGCACCTCTCTGCCGCTGCTCGGTCTCACGTTGACTGTTGACCTGAGATGGAACAAATAACATTGAGTTAATTGCTTTGTCCACCGCAAGGAAAGTTGGCTCCCTGTGCCTCGCCAGGAAATTTTTCTCCTCGGAATCGATCCTTCAGATCTACAAATCAACAATTCGCCCTTGCATGGAGTATTGCTGCCATACATGGTCTGGTGCACCTTCTGTTTCCCTCGGGGTTCTTGATAAGATCAAGAGGCGGATATGCAATATAATTGGCCCTGTTCTGGCATCTCGTCTACAGTCCCTCTCCCACAGACGCGCCGTCGCCTCTCTCTGTCTTTTTTACAAATACTTTCATGGTAATTGCTCCGAGGAGCTACATTCGCTGGTTCCCAGACTTCATGAGTTCAAGCGCTTTACAAGGCTGGCATCCCGCTCTCACCCTTTCACTGCTGAAACTCCTAAATGTAGCCGTCTCTTCTACTCCAATAGCTTCATGTCTCGCACCTCTCGCCTGTGGAATTCCCTTCCCTATTCCAGTTTCCCTGAGAGCTATAATCTCCAGCTATTCAAATGTAATGTCAATCGACATCTCCAGTTGCCGTGATCTATCCACTATCCTTCTCCTCATCCTTTCCTCTATCATTCCTATCTGATCTTGCTCCAAATCTTCTGTAACCCCTTGCGTCCTAGTGGCTTCCCGCCTTGCTTGGGGTAAAACGCTTATATATATATATATATATATATATATATATATATATATATATATATATATATATATATGTGTGTTGATCATCCACAAACAGACTGCTTCGCAGTATTAGAGCACTTCAGTGTGGCTAGATGCCCAATTGCTTCAAGCCGGGATCGAAAGCCGACCGATTTGGCATCAGTCTGAGATCCTACCCCTTGGCTATTGTCGCACGGCAGAGAGAAAGGGAAATATTAACGTTTTCTATACGAAATACGCCCGTGGCCCGGAGAGCTCAATTCAGTTGAAGAGCAATGCGTTAATAGCAGTAGGCACCACTGTTTTTAAAATTATCCTTTTCTCAAGAGAGCTCAACCGGGTTTCCCAGGAGCATATATATTGTCATCGACAGACAGATGTGTGTGTGTGTGTGTGTGTGTGTGTGTGTGTGTGTGTGTGTGTGTGTGTCGATATCAATTATCTGTGCTTATCTGAGTTACCTCCAGCTACTTTGACATAAGCTCTCTCTTCGCCGGCTGTCACAACGCACGGACGCACTCTATTTCTCACCATGCCATATGTATATATATATATATGAGTTTGAGCGTACGACCTTCTGAATGATGATCATGACAGATTATAAGCCCTTTCAAATAAGCTTTAAGGTCCGCCCAGAATAAATTCAGTATAAACCACTGGTCGGCTCTAAGGGTGCTGAATAAACATAAATATGCCTGAGCAGATGTCTACGACAGCGATTTCTAAACCACTCTAGCAGATGGGTGAACTGTGAAGAAGATATATATATATATATATATATATATATATATATATATATATATATATATATATATATATGTATGTATGTATGTATGTATGTATTGTTAATTATTAACCGTAAGTTAAATATTACAGGACATTATTAATTCAACTTTTCATCTGCCAAATTCTGTCTCACTTTCTGTCTGTCCATTCCTCCTTCTCCCCTGTGCGTGTATATATATATATATATATATATATATATATATATATATATTTGTGTATGTGTGTATGTATGTATGTATGTATTGTTATCAGTAAGTTAAATATTACTGTTTTATATATATATATATATATATATATATAATATTTACAGACAGGGAGAAGGAGGGGGGGAGAGAGAAAAAGAGAGACAGAATTTGAAAAGTTCTCGTGAATTCAAAATACATTCTGATGATTTGTCATTTGATCAGATTTCCGCCGCCCCTTATTAGATAGATAGATAGATAGATAGATAGATAGATAGATAGATATTTTGTTAGCGATATCTTTACAGTAGAAGAAAATCGCACTCATGATTTTAGAAAAATAACAACAATACTAAATATTTAATATCAGAAAGAACCATACAGGTAAATATATATGAATAGCCGGGGTCAGAGATGGCGAATCATTACAGTTGCCGGGTAATTTTTGATACTTCAAAAAGCCTGGAAAACAATAGGATTCTACACTTTTACAAGTGTTCAACAGAAAGTGTTCAACAGAAAGAAACAGAAAAAATAATTTAGGCGTGTAAGCGACTTGAAGTAAATTGAATTATGATTCTACAGGAGGATGCTGAGAATACCATGGATCGAATATGTGAACAACGACGTAATTTTAAAGACAATGGAAACAAAAAGGAAAATCATACTTAACATCAGGAAGAGACAGTTAAAAATTTCTAGGGCAAATTATGAGAAAAGAGGACTTTGAAAATCTAATACTCACAGGACAGACAGCACATAACATACTTAATAAGCTTGAGTAAGTGGATGACTGAACAAGGTTTAGGAGAGATAACAAAAAAATTATTACGAGCTACAAAGGATAAGAATTGTAGAAAGCTAAGATCGCCTACATCTTTTGTGGGGGGGGGGCACAGCACATAAAGAATAAAAGAATGAAAGGCCTTGGTTTGATCTCCCTATACCAGACATAGCGAATCTTCATAGATACCGGGTCACTTTTGATACTTTTAAAGGTTTCATAAACATAAATGGGTCACTCTTATACTTAGCGATATTTCTTAATGAGAAACTTGTTGCTGCTTCTTAGTTGTTAATGTTTTAATTCGAAGACATGCAAAACTCACATCAATACCAAGGCGATTCCTGGTAGTTAATTTTATATAGTTCATGACGAACCATATTTTATGACGTCATTTCACTCACTCCTTGTGGTTCGCTAAAACGTTGATTGTAGCTCAGCTAATGAACCGCACATCAGTGGTTCACCATTACTGCTCTATACAATGCATGATTAAATAATTCAGTTTTCAAATCTTTACCGGGAGAAAAGCTTTTTAGTCTAGACGATCCCAAGTATATATACAGGTTTCTCTAGAGCTACAAAGATATCAAATTGTGGAGAGCTATAGTTGCTCACTTTCTGAAGGGAAACAGAACATAGAAGAAGAAAACGTGATAGCAAGTTCTTCATCATTTATAACACGGGTTTATTGTTATCTATTAGTTTGTTTTTGTTTTTTGGGCACATGACGAAGAAAAACGACTTGGAAAATATGATACTCTC